TGCCGGATTAAGCGGGATGAATGAAGGGACCCAGGGACACAGAAAATAAGTAGACACAAGTCCCAGGATCACAAATGCCAGGATCCCCTGTATAGCCCATAGCTTTCTGGACGTTCGTCTTGCCCCCCACTTCCCATATGTCCCCATATCTCCCTGGGAGTATGCGATTCACTGTCTGTGTGTGTATCTTTTTTCCCACCTGAATGAAGCGGGGCGAGGCCGAAGTCAGCCGAAAATTCGGACCAGGGCAGAGTCAGAATTGGACCTCCCAAGAGTTCCATCCGACACAGGGGGGGTACAGTAGGAAATCGACCACAAGAGACTTCCAACAAGAAACTCATCCATTAGACCCCAGGACGTCCATGGATTTTTGGTGCGGGAGCGCCGCGCTGTGCATTGCAAAACCATCAAAACCCAAGAAACCCAGGGCACCCTGGAGGCAAGAAGAGCGTTTCTTGGCATGGGTCGCCACTGTCGGCGCAGCGAGCTTCTGAATGGCGTGCCGCCGCGGGGGACCCCGGCGACACGCCAACTCTGCCCTGCCAGTGCATCGGGTCGGCGTGCCGGGGGAGATAGAAGGGGGGACTGCAGAGGGGGGGGGGGGGGGGCGGGCCTGCTCGGAGGGCTCGGCAAGCCCCCGCGCCCTCTGCGAAGTTTTTCCCGTAAGACGAAGCCAAAACGATTACAAATTGACGTGATGAAACATTCGGTGATCTACTGACCCGGGTCAATCCAGACCCGGGTCAATCAGGTTTGCAAGATCCTGCACCCAAGCCCGGGTCAATGCATCCCTGGCTCTGCAGGATCCTGCAATATCCGTCGCTCTGGCTGACCCCCGTCTCTTGAGCCCCGACAAATCAAGAATCTCTGAGGTCTGGCGGCTCTGGAAGATGCATCGGGCGCCACGGCCTTCTCGGGGCGCTCCGGAACGCTCTGAGAGCGTCCAGAACTTAGTGGGCCCTGGAAACGACAGGGCCGTTTTTGTTACTGGTTCCGTTTTGCCGTTTTTTCGCCAATTCCGACGCCGTTTTTGTTACCGGTCCCGTCGCCGTTTTTTGACCGGTTCCGGCTCCGGTTCCAATCCTGGAGCTGTTTTTTTGCCGTTTCCGGTCGCCGTTTTCTTGCCGTTTCCATTTTCAAGGGGCATTTTTATGGAAACGGTGAAAAAACGGCCCTGCCGTTTCCGGGGCCCACAGAGGTCCAGAACGCTCTGGAACGGAAATGTCCTCGTCCTCTAGCCCTGCCCGCCCGGGGCCCTCTCCGACGACAGGGGGGCCCCGCCGCCTTCGCAGCAGGCCTGCCCCACCGCCCTCTGAGCAGGCCTGTCCCCTCGCACCATCCCACCCCCGGCGCGCCCACTCGTGAGGGGCAGCGGCAGGGAGGAGGAGGAGGAGGAGGAGGAGGAGGAGGAGGAGGAGGAGGAGGAGGAGGAGGAGGAGGAGGAGGAGGAGGAGGAGGAGGAGGGGGACAGGCTCGGGGGGGAACGCATCGACCCCCTATCGCCAGTGCATCGCCGACAGGGGTCGACATGGGGGCCGACATGAGGGCTAGAAAATAGCACCTGGACCGAGGTGCCCGAATTCCAGTTGAGGTTCAAGCAGGCCAGATAGGTCTGTAGGTCTGGAGTGCTATAGTTACTAGCGCTCTCGGAGGTCAGGGACATCGACCCCGAATCGCCCATGAATCGCCGACAGGGGTCTGATAGAGCCACCCCCGCCCAGAAGCGCGCGGCGGCTTCGCAGTCAGGAGCCTACCGCAGATCCCTTGGTGAGGTATGGCCGACTCCAGGTCGATGTGTCCCCCCCTTAGCCAATCCCCCCAGATCGCTGCCCCTGACCTCGTTCTGCTTGCACCTGGCCAACGCCAGCCTTGCCACTGAATCGTGCGCTCGACTCGGGAAAGCGTTTTGTTGGTGTCTTTCCAATGAGGGTCTCCACCTGGGGGGGCGGGGTGGGGCCCAGGGTGACGGTGATGCTTGGGCTGGGTGGGGCACGTCGGGGCGGGGGTGCGCTGCAATCGGCATAGCGCGCGCGAACACCAACATGGGGGGTGTCCAAGTCCCAACACATAGGCACGATCGTTACCGCTACCAGGGTGGGGTGGGGGGGCGGGTAACGACCGCTGCGCGCCAGAGGATACAACATCAAGGGTCTCTTGCCTGACCGATGCCACACCTGCCACTGAATCGTGCGCCCTCCTTCGCATGCAGCGTGTGCCACTCTGGCTGTCGTGGCACCCAACACGCCAGCCAGCGAACACTGTCCAGCACAATTCTGCTCAACTGAGGGTCACGCCTTGCCCCGCAGTCCAAGATCCCGTGACGCTGCCGGCCTCCTTCTGATCGGCCTCCCCGCTGGGCCCCGTGGTCTTGATGAGGCCCCAGGCAGGGCCAGAAAGGTAATAGAGTGCGGGCGCTCGTGGCCACTGTGCCATGCCTCCAGGCCAGATCAGGTTTATCCTCCTGCGTAGTCTCTCGTGTGCGAGGCCACTCACGCTCGGATCGCACAAGGCCTCCGCCATTGCAGCAACCTCTGTTCTTTGTTCCTTCGTCGCTCATGTGAAGCCCCGGAAGGTAGATCGCAGCACTATGTCTGGGCCCTCTCGGGCCGAAGTGGGAGGGAAATGATCGGCACCCTTGAGCACACTCCGGCCTCCGAGCCGCAGCCCCTGATCTCAACAGAAGGGAAACCAAGCCTCAGATGGCCGCGGCCGGCCGCCTTCGCTGGCGGGCGTGTGCAAGGCGACGACGCTACAGTGCAGTGAGGAGGAGAAACAGAGGAGGAGAGAGAGGAGAAGGAGAAGGAGGAGGAGGAGGAGGTGGAGGAGGAGAAGGAGGAGCAGGAGGAGGAGGAGGGGGAGGAAAAGGAGGATGAGGAGATGAGGAGGAGGACGGGGGATTAATTTTAATCATGGATAGGCCGGTACACTCAAACATAGACCGACTCTCCTCCTTCTCCCTCCACACGGAGTGAGGGATGCACACCCCTCTAGACAGCGCGCTCCTCGATCTTCATCTCCTCCTCCTCCTCCTCCTCCTCCTCTTCCTCCTCTTCCTCCGTCTCCTCCCCCTCTTTCTCCTCTTTCTCCTCTTTCCCCTCCTTCTGCACAGGGCGAGAGATGCACAGGCCTTTTAACATTGTCGTCCAAATCCTCCTCCTCCTCCTCCTCCTCCTCCTCCTCCTCCTCCTCCTCCTCCCCCTTCTCCCCCTCCTCCTCCCCCTCCCCCTACTCCTCGCATGCGAAGTCAGAAATGCACATGATTCATGCCACCGTTCTTCTCCTCCATCATCGCCGCCGCCTCTTCTCGCGTGGAGTCAGACATGGACATGCATATGACTTCTGACAGCATATTTCTCCATCTCATTACCTTCTTCCTCTACGTCCTCCTCCGGCTCAGATGCACAGGATTGCTGACATCGTTGCCGTCTTCCTCGCGCACGGAGCCAGATATGCACAGGACTCCTCCTCCTCCTCCTCCTCCTCCTCCTCCTCCTCCTCCTCCTCCTCCTCCTCCTCCTCCTCCTCCTCTTACTTCCCCGCGCCTTCTAGAGGCCCCAATATGGACAAACAACACTCAAAACATGGACCGTCCATCCTTCTTCTCCTGCTCATCATCCTCTTGCTCCTTCTCCACAACGTCTCGGTCCTCCTACTCGGCCCTCCGCGACCCACCCTCGTCCTGCCCCTCCTCGTCGTCCACTTCCTCCTCCTACTCCTCATTGTCCTCCCCGTCGTCGCTCGAAATGCTGTGCCTCTACGACACATCAGACGACGTGCTGGCCAGGCCAATTGCCTCGTCCTCGTGCTCGTGGTCATTCTGCTCGCTGTGTAATGCAACAAATGACGATCTCAAGCCTGTGACTGGGATAGCTGTTTTTTTGCAGGAGCTGTGGGAGAGCGTTCGGCGACCAAGTCGCCGTTTCTGATTGGTCTGAATCAGACGAGATTGTGTGTTTTTAAATTTCCTCTCCGTGCCTGTGAGCAACATCATGCCTGTGAGCAACAAAGCGTGCCTATCGTCACCAGACCATGTGGGCGAACACCGCGCCATGCCTCTTGCGGAACCGACCCCCCCCCCCCCGCGTACGCTCGGTACCGTTACGGGGAGGGAGGCAGGACGAGGGGGCGACCCCCCATAACATACGTTGCAGGCTCACCGAATACAGCAAGCAGTGCCCGACGGCCCTGGCCATCCCACCTGCCGGCACGGGCGCGCAGGGCCGAGGAAGGGAGGGGAAAAGAAAGTACTGCATGCTGCGCCGCTCAACGTCGAGGAGCCCGCGCCGGACACGAGCGAAGCCATGGGAACCCCGCCCGCCCAACCCTGCTTCTCCCTGTGACCCGGTGGCCGCCACTTCTCCTGCACTACTCTCCTTACCAGCCTCGAACGTATCCCTATCCCTAAGATTGACACGCCAAAAGGCGATGACAATCTTAGGGATTCGCCCTCAAAAAATAAGGGAATCCCTAAGATTGGCACCCTGATGAGGAGGTGCCCAGCATAGGGATAGGGAGATGTTCCAGGCTGGTAACCTCCTGCGCCCCTGTGCGGTGTGCCCCCCCCCCGCCGCCGCCGGGCAAGCCCGTCCGACAGCGCCCCTCCGTCAGCCTCGCGGGCCGTAGCACTCCCACAGGCCTCATGGGAGGTGCTCCGGCCAAGCCTTCCTGCTAAACAGCTGGCAGACGCGGCGGTTCCCGTTGCACGGAGCCTCGCCATCGCTCGGACGCCCATTCCCCGTGCATGTTCCAGTGTCATGCGTTTTCTCTCCGCAAGATGGTCATGGATGCTCCTCGATTGTCCTCGCCGAGAAAACACGTGAACGTTTTCTTGTTCGGCGTTTCGGCATTAAGGGAAAAGGTGGGGGAGGGGGGGGTTCTGGCTCCAGACCTCTGCTGAGTGCGACTGTTAGGGACAGTGCTCCCGTGGGGAATCCCATGTGCAGGCGGTGCCCCTGTGCCTACTCCAACTGCGTGAAACAGACGCCCAAAACAGCCAAGATCTACATCAGGGGGTGGGAAAGGGGGTGCGAGGGCCCGCGCCGATCGGCAAGCCGATGAATCAGAAACCGATCACCATGCACACGCCCGGGCGATGCCAGGGAGCCTGTTCGGCGACTTCCCACACCAGACTGCCTGACGTTCTGGAGCGCACGGCCTGCCCTCACTTCAGTTCCTCCAGCAGCTCCCGCCCTCGAACCATGCCTCCTTCCACACAGCGCTGAGCATTCAAGAGATGGAGCGCTGCCTAGCAGGAAGCCCGAGCCGCCTCCGTGGCCGTCGGCGCTGCCGTCGCCAATGGCCTCGGCGCAGGAGGAGCACGCGTCCGGGCGCGGGGCAAGACACGCCCAGAAGGCGAGGCGGGCAGCAGGCCCAGGGGGCCCGATCTTCGGGGATTTGCACGGCGTCTGCAGCACACGTGCCTGTGATCTGGGCGCCTCGGGGGCCTCGTGGAGCTCAATGGCAAGACCACGACCGCCAAACCCTAGCTTCCACTACAGGAAACAAAGGACTACAGAAACAGAAGGCCCGAGTGTCCGCGCGGATTTTCTGGAACGGCGCAAGACGCCCCTCCCTGGCGCGCGGAACGCGCCAGCGGCGGCGCTGGAGGCACCGCCAGGGCGGCCTGGCGCCGATCCGAGACATCCGCGCGGAGCGCCTGGGAATGCCGTGCATGTCGTGGCCTACTCCTCGACACAAGCCCCGCCTTCACAGAGGGCGGGTGCACGGACACCGCCTGGCAGGGAGGTCGCTCCTCGGGGACCTCGGCAGTCGGTGGATGTGGTGATGCTCGGGCCTCGCCCGCCCTGGTCCCCGGAGATCGAGCCCCAGGGCGAGGGTGACGGGTAGGGCCCAACAGCCATGGCACCTAGAAGGACTGGCTCCACCAGGGCCGACGAATTGAGAGAGGCCTCACCAGGAAAAACACACACACACACACTGTGGGGGAAAAATCACACTGGGAAAAAAAAAAACACACACTGTGGGGAAAAAGCACACTGTGTGTGTTTTCCACTGTGTGTGTTTTTGTTCCTACAGTGTGTGTGTGTGTGTGTGTGTGTGTGTGTGTGTGTGTGTGTGTGTTTTGTGTGTGTGGCTGTGTGTGTGATTTTGTTCCACCAGGGCCGACGACTGGAGAGAGGCCTCACCTGGAGCATCCTGCGCCTCCAGTGGCGGGCGGCGCATGGCCCACGAGACTGGGGCGTTGCTGGGCAGCACTACTTTATAGCGTAGGCGCATACAGAAGCCGTGCGAGGTGAAAGTGGGCAGATCGACACAGGCAATGGTCAGAACTTCTGCAGGGGTCTGTGGGGGACCCCGCAGGCCCCTGGAGGCCCCTGGCAGTCTCCGAACGCCGGCCAACGAGTCCAATACCTCGTCCTCGTTTCTCTGCTCGTGCTGTTCTTGTCATGCTCGCCTCTGGTGGAAGTGGAAGAAACAACGGCCTAAACGTAAAATGTCCGAACTCCGCGCGGCCTCCTTGGATCGGCGCTGAACGCCCCCCCTGGCGCGCAGGGCGCGCAAGGGGCTGCGCCGGAGGCAGAGCCAGGGCCCGAATCCAGATCAGCACGGACCTCCGAAAGCGTTTGCGCTGTCTCTTGTGTTTCCGAGGTGCATCCTGCTTCTCCAGCCGGAGATCGATCAAAGGAGGAGCCGTCGTACATTAGAGCGTCCATTATGCCCCCCCACAAGAGCTAACATGTGGCAGAGATCTGAATAACATGTTAAGCCAGTTGCCACGTTACGGAGCAGACCTCGGGCACAGGCGGAAGCATACGGCTCCCTCACGTCCTGACCAAGGCGTACCCCCTTGAATTCCCGGTTCCCTGGGCCACACCCTCCAGCGGCGCCCTCGCACTCGGCCCCCCCAATGGTTTCGACTTCCTCGCCGAGGCCATCCCGGACGCTCCAACGCCCCGCGGAACCTCCCCTCCAGGCTCAAGGGGAGTCATTTGCATGTGTAGCTACTCGCCTATCGCACAACATTGCAGTCAGCAGTATGTCAAATGTACACTTGCGGGCTTCATGCCTTAGCTACTTCAGTCAAGAGCTGTCCTGGAGAGGCCCCGGAGGCCGAAAGTTAGAAAGAGCCACTGACAAGAGGCGCGGGCTTGAGAGCGCCATACGCGTCGGGTGTGGGGGCGGGGCGAACCCGACCCCGTCTCGTCAGGGCCTCGTCATCGCCCTCGCCCTGGGCACCCCGCCCTCGCGCCCCTTGCGCCCCGCGCAGCGCGCGAGGCGGGGCCATCTTCGTGCCCCCACGGCCAGGAGGAGGGTGCCTCCTCCCCCCTGCGGACCAGCGGTGGGCACCACAGGCCACCAGCACCACCAGGACGGGTCGCGAGGAAGCAAGACCCTGGGAGGCCGACCTTGGGGGATGTTTTGGGCGGCGGGAGACCAGTGAACACGACCAAGGACGGGCCGCAGAGGCAAGGACACAGCGGCACCCTGGATGAGGGCGCGCGTCCGTTACTGGGCGCCTTAGCCGCTGGACCTCACCCAACGTCCAGTGACCCTCCTGCACTCTCGATCCTTCGGCCTCTCTCCAGCTGCAGCTCCACCGATGTGCGGCGGCGCGAATCGGCGCTAAAGGACGCTGGTCGAAGCTAAATCGATGCTACATCGACGCTCATCGACGCAGGATCGGTACTATCTCATCGACTACCAAGCGGTAACCGACGCTGGTGCACTCCACGGGTGAGCCAGAACCTGCAGCATCCCTGGGGGATCCGCTAACTGGACGACACGATTGGGACCGTGAGGCTGAGAGGAGGAGGAAACGATCGGGGAGGAGGAGATCGGGGAGGATGAGGTCGAGGAGGATGAAGTTGACGAGAAGGACGAGGAGGAGAAGGAGGAGAAGGGGCGGAGCAGCCAGCAGATGGATAGTCGGAGGCGGGGCGAAGCAAGAGCCCTCCCAGACAGGGCAGGAGACTGCACGGCGGCCTCGTGAACGCGCACAGCGCGCAGCGATCTGCATCAGAGCCCGCAGGAACTACGCGGACCCGACGATTGTAGTGTAGAGGGCAGAAAATCCACCCCCATAACGAGCACCCCGACGAGCGAAGGCCTTTAGTCAACGCGCCCAAGGGCGGCATCGAACAGGGCAGGGTCGTCCAGGAAACGCCCAGGGCCGTTTCGTGAACGCCAAATTGAAGGGGCCCCAAGACACACAAATAAATACACACAAGTAAAACTATTCCCCATATGTTCTTGTATTTTCTGGGTTTCTGTCTTCCCCCCCACTGCCCATATGTTCCCATATTTTCTGGGGGATCGCTGATTAATTGTGTCTGTGTGCTTTTTCCCCTCCTGGCAAATGTCGGGGTCTGGGTGGTCTTCCCCCCCCCCCTTGAGATTACAGTTCTCGTCTCTGGCCAGCGGCGAGCGTTTGGCACGAGCTGCGCCCCCGTGGGTTTTGAGCCCCGGCGCGTGGCCTCCGCGCCTCGGCCGCCGTGCCGGCCGGTGCCGCGGGCAGCGGCACCGGAAGGCGCTCCCCCGGGTCGTGCACAGCTCCGCAGCCGCGCCCTCGCGGTCCTGGCCATCGCTCGGACGTTGATTCCCTGTGTTTACTTTGATTTCGTGCGTGTTTTCGTTGCTCGATGGTCCAGGATGGTCCTCGATGGTTCTCGCCGAGAAAAAAATGCACACGTCCGAGCGATGCCAAGGGTCTGGACTCCAAGGGCAGGGGAACACAAAGAGTGGCATAAACACAAGAACTCGGAGGTCCGCGCGGATTCCTCGGGTCGGTGCTGGACCCCCCTCCCTGGCGCGCGGAGCGCGCCAGGGGCGGCGCCGCCGGGGGAGCCCAGCGCCGATCCGAGAAATCCGAGCGGATCTCCGAGTTGTTATGTTTATGCCACTTTTTGTTGCCCGAAAGGGGGCGATCCTGCAAATGCGCGATCGCACGGGTGCGATCCGCGCGGGGCCTCCGCGACAGCAACGCTCCGCGTCCGCAGGGCCGCAGCCCGGGAGCCTCGCCCGCGAGGCCGCGGATGTGGGTGTGTCTTTCGCCCACGGTGCTCCGTCCGCAAATGGGGGCCTGCCAGGACGAGAACTCTCCTCGGGCAACTTGGCCTTGGCGTCGAGCGGCTCAGTCTTGGCAGCAAGCTCCGCATCGCCGCCGAGCACGTGCGCAGCCTTGCGCCCATCCTACAACAGGTCCACTAGGTCACCTGACTTCGCGCATCGTGCCCCACTATGTGCGACGCGCGATGATCTTCGCGCCATTGAGCCCTCGACACGCCACTTTGAAGGATGGCAGCCTCCTCGTTCAAGGCCGCGACGTGCAAAGCGTGAGTATCTTCGCGCTCCTTGGGGAGACCTGGGGTCAAAACGCACTTCATCAAGTGGTTGGTGGCCGCGGCAATGTCCGACATCTGTGTCGTGACCGCGGTGGAGGTCGAACATGCATGAATCTGAAAGCGAACGGGATTAGGGGGTCGGGCGCCACGGCGTGGTCTTGTCGTCTTCCACGAAACCCATATCCCTGCGCTTGTCCTCACCCTCCGCACCCGAAAACGAGCCCTCGACGTCCGTCTTGCAAACGAGGCTTGGATTGATGTGCAAGAACATATCCGTGATCCTCCGACGGCTATTCCCATATGTCTTCTCCGAGGCGGGCTTCGTTATCATTGTCTCGAGCTCGTCCGCCTCATGATCAATCCTTGGGGGGGGGCTGGACGTGCCGTACATGCATTATAGGCGGCGTCCGCATGTATCCACCTTTTGGCGAAGGGAAACGAGATGATGCTCTTGCCCCGCGCATGGCGGGCCGCCAACTGGAGTCCTTCGGAAGTGGATTGCAAGCGCATCTGTCAAGCTGCGAAGAGCGACACCTTGGAACTGAGTGGCAAGCGCCGCCATCACGCGCACCCGGGAACAGGATGCGTTCGAAACAACAAGCGGCGGAAACGAACGACAGGGCCTGCAGCCTTGAGCCAACTCTGGCCACGGAGGGAGGGTGAGTTTGAGGAGGGACAGGATGATGACCCAGGAGGGGGAGGAGGAGGACGTTCAGGATGAGGATGAGAAGGAGGACGAGGAGGAGGAGGACGAGGAGGAGGGGGAGGAGGAGGAGGGGCAGGAGGATGAGGCGAAGGAGCGGGATAGGAGGAGGAGGAAAGGGAGGAGAAGGAGGATATTGAGGTTGAGGAGAGGGAAGAGGAGGAGGAGGGGGAGGACCTCGTCGCCTCGCGCTGCCGCGGCGGCGCCGCTGACGCCTCAGCCGTTGCCGCCGTCGGGGGGGGGCAGCCTCGAGGATCTGGAGCGACTTCGAGCCGGGTGCGGCGCACAGGTCGCACACCTCCCAGGGTGTCTCGCTCGAGAGAGGCCCAGGCCGTGTGGGCGGATCGAACCATCGCGATCCCAACCAGTGTCCTCGTTTCCGCCCTCCCCTTGGCCCGTTTTCCGTCCTCCCCTCCTCTCCTCCCCCCCTCGTTTCCTCCCCTCCTCCTCCCCTCCCCTCCTCTCCTCCCCCCATTCCTCCCTCCCCTTCTCTCCTCCCCCTCCTCCTCCACTCCTCTCCTCCCCTCCTCTCCTCCCCTCGTTCTCCCCTTCTCCTCACCTCCGCTCCTCCCCCCTTCTCTCCTACCCTCCTCCCGCTCTCTTTCCCCCCCTTCTCTCCTCCCCTCTCGCGGCCGTGGGCCCGCCAGTGTGCGCCGCCAGCACGCAGGAGGTGTGCTGCCAGAAGTGGGCCAGGCCCAGTGCTGCCAAAGTGGGCCAGGCCAGAAGTGGGCCAGGCCAAGGCTGCCACGGAGACCCTGGAACCATAAGACTAATAATCACTATTATTAGTATTATTCGTACTAATCCTGTGAAGATAATAAACAAACGAACAAAACAAATAAGACGAGGAACAACAAACATCATAATACTTGCCATAACAATACATCAACATAAACAATGACAATCATGATAAGAAGAAGAACCGTGCGTGCTCGTCAGGACGCAAGCCCTTCCCGCCACCCCACGCCTGTGCGGCCTGCCAGCCGCCCTCCGCCCCGCCGAGTCTGGGGAAGGTGCTCTCAGGTCCCTGCGCCGCCCAGGAGCTCGAGACCAAGGCTGGACCAAAACGGTGTGCCTCTTGTTCGTGCTGTCCTCGCGTTCCTTCGTTCCGTGTTCGTTCCGCCTCTGCCGCAAACGAAAGTCGAAACGAACACGGCCCACGGAATCGCCAAAAAACACTGTTCAGGTCGAGCCCTGCTCGAGGCACCGTGAGCACGCTCCCAACAACACTCGAACACATCAAAAACTACACTTAGCAAAACTCCACCCAGTTGCGGGGACCAGGGGGGGCAATCAAAATTCGGTTAGGCGCGCTGGTCGGTCTGGGTGGACGGGCACCGCCTCGCGACCTACGACGGGGAGCGCTGGTCATGCGAAACACGTGGGGCGCCAAGCGTTGCAACTATCAGCATGTTTCACGGCGGGGCTAAGCGGCTGCTGCAACAGGAAATGATAACGCGAACTGCCGCTTCATCCGTGGAGGGGGGATCCAGCACAGAAAAGAATTCGAAGGCGTGGGGCGTCTGGCCAGGCATTTACTTACGGCACGCATAGAACCGATCGCGGCTACAAAACTTGGCGAGACACGGGGATGAGGTGGAAGTGGAAGGACATAATGAAAGAGGCTGCTATGGCACGGAGACACGAGACGAGGGAGGAGATCACGCCTGAGGCAAAGCGGCGCCCCAAAGCACAGAAAACGCTGGGGTCATCATGCTGGGGCAGAGGCGGGGAAGGGCAGCGGGCAGTGCGAGGCGGAAAAGGACAGCGGCCATGCAGGTGGTTTCGCTGAGCCTGAGGAAGTGGGAAGTCGGCGGGGAGCGGCCCTGGGGACGGGGCCTCGGATATGGGCAGCACGGGCAGCCGATGCTTCGCCAAAAGGGGACACGTACAGAACTACACTTAGCGGCTGGGGCACGGTACACGTCGGGAGCGCGAGTTGCGCCCCCGACATGTACCCCGCCCCGCTGGCTAGGTGTAGTTATATGAGTGCTCTGTTTTGTGAGGATGTCCCTGGCGAAACCAGCACGTACAGAACTACACCTAGCGCCTGGCTAAGTGTAGTTCTGAACGTGCTGGATGTCTCGAGCGGGGCGAGCACGTATAGACCGGCACCTAGCGAAAATGGCAGGGTACAGGTCGGGGGCGTCGCCGCGCCTCCCCGCAGAGTCAGGAGGGCAGGGGCCACTGAAATCCCAGCCGCCCTCAGGGCGGCGGAGGCTGGACGTCCCAGGGATGCCCGAAAGGGACCCAACTGCGGCCAAGGGCACGCAACGAGGTCCCTGGGGGCCCCAAGAGCGCTCCACGACCTCCAGCCGCAATCTGAGGTCGTAGCGTCTTGGGGGTCTCCTGGAGCGCTTGGCGGGGTCTTGGATTCTTCCTGGGGCGCTCGGGAGGTCCCAGGAGCGCACCTGCTCGCCACGACATCTGGTCTCGATCTGGAGGTCGTGGCGTCTGGGGCCCCCGTGGGGCGTTTTGGGGGCACTGGGGGTTCCTCCTGTAGCCCATCATGGGTCCCACGAGCGCTGGTGGTCGCTACGACCTCTGATCTTGTTCTGGATCCCTCCATCCTCTTTGCCCCCCCCGTGATCAGGGCAACTCGCCTGGTGACGATGTTTCGAGGATTTTGAAAAATATGCGCGCTCCGCCTCCGCCTCCTAATCGCGAGTTGTTATTTCTGATTCCACGCCGACTCTGGCTAGCGACGTCGAGGCCCTCGCAAATCCGACAAACGCGATGACCCCCCTCGAATGGCGGGCAAAACAAACTTTGGAACGATAGCCCAAAATTAATTTTGAAATTTCGGGATCCGCGAGAGAAAGTAATCCACTCGCCCAAAGTGTAGCTCTCTATCTGTCCGAAACACACGAGCCATCCGTGTTGTCTCGTCCCCCTGCGATTCCTGGTGCCTCGGAGCGATCTCATGACTAACCGTCGTCCAGTCGCTGCCCAGAGGGAGCACCGTCGCTCGTGCCATGGTCATTCATGGATCGGAGGCGAGGGGGTGAGGTCGCAAGGAAGCGGTGAGCACCCAGACGGAAATTCGGTTTCGGTTTCATGTTCGTGTCGCGCGTGCGGCAAAGGCGAAGCTGCGTGAGTATAGAAGAACAGCACGACGATCATCTTGCGGAGGCTCGTGCGGATCTCGTGGAACGGCGCTAGACCCCCTCCCTGGCGCGCGGAACACGCAAGAGGGGGCCTAACGCCGATCCAAGAAACCCATGCGGAGCTTCGAAATGTCATAAGGATACCGTCGTTTGTTGTTCGATCTTCTTCTCCTTGCCCTCCTCCTCTAAAGGCCTCCCAACAGGGGTTCCAGTAGATGAGGTCGCAGCGTAGCGTCGCGTCAACGATACATCGGCGATGCATCGGCGTCGCCGACGGGAAGCAAAGTAGGATCCACATCGAGCCGCATCGCTGATGGATCGGCGATGCAGCGCGATCCCCCGAACCATCTACTAGGAGTCAATTGGGGAGGCCGAGATCCTCCCCCCCTCCTCCCCCGAAACAGGTCACGGCATGAGCCCTTGACCCCACCTTTCTGCACCATTTTCCAGCGGGATCGATCTGTGAAGGCCCCAGGGCCCGAAGCAAGGTGAGAACGCCGAAGCTCAAGGTCCTCCTCCCCCTCCTCCCCATCTGGAAGAGCCAACAGGCACCCATACTTACCGCTACTCCCCGGACCTCTCCCAGGGTGCGTCCTGACTGGGATTCCGAAGCGAGTCCAGCCGTGTTGATGACGGACTTCCGGGAGGCCCGAGAAGGCGAAACCGAGGCAATGGCATAGGTGTCGGAAGCTTTGCATGAGTCATAAACCTGTTTCTCTAGGGCTCCCAACTTTGCGCTTCGCGCTCCGCGAAGCGCGAATAACTTCGCGCTCTCACGCCGCCCCCCCAAAGGGAGAAAAGGAGGACGAGGCGGACGGGGAGAAGGACCGAGGACCGCGAAACGCGAAGCGCGAGTAGCTTCGCGCCCTCGTGGGAGCCCTTGCTTCTGCAGAAGGAAGAGCATCAGGTGTCGGGCCCATCGTGCTCGCCTCGTCTCCTCTGTGCTTACACGCCTCTGCCTCCCTCGCGGGCGACTAGGTTCCCTGGCGGTGCGGGCGGGAAGTTGCTGGCAACGGCGGAGATATCATTGAAGGGGCCCTGGGACACACAAATAAATACACACAAATAACAGGATTCCCAATATTCTCCCATATGTTCTGGGTGTTCGTCTTCCCCTCCAATTCCTATAGTTTCCAATCTTATCGGGGGAATCGACGATTAATTGTGTCTGTGTTTTTTCCCCTTCTGAATCATGTGTGATGCTCCGTTCCTGGCGCTCCTCCGAGGACAGGACCAATCAACATCGAATCGGCACATCGGATCACATCGACATGTGCGTCGGATCTGGTTGCCTCGGCGCGGAGTCGAAATTAAATCGCGTCGGCCGCGCCAAGATGCACCACAACGCCATGCAAGCATCGGGCCGCCTCAGATCGTCGGACCGTCGGAGTCGGATCGGATCGGGCGGGCCGAGATCGGCATCGAATCGGAACGATCGGATCGAAATGGACCCCGGAGGAGTACTCAGAGGCCACCTAGACTCCTAGACGGGGTCGGAGTCGATGGGGTCGGAGGATCGCGCTGCATCGCCGATACACCGGCGCTGCATCGGCACTGCATCGGCGGTGCACCGGCGATGCATGGCCGACGTGGGCGATGCATCGGCGACGTCGACGCGAAGCAGAACGGGCTCCACATCGAGACGCATCGGCGATGCATCGGCGATGCGAGGCGGTCCTCCGACCCCATCGAAGTCAACCCCAGCTACCTTGGATGCTTGAAACGGGTACGGAAACAATCGGTGCAATGCCCACCAACACGTGTCGTCCAAAACCAACAACGGCCGCTGTTGGGCAGGCGGCCTTCTGCCTCCACTGGACAACGGCTGTGCGGCGACGCGGATAGCGAATCATGTTCAAAATGGGCAGGAACTGCGGTTGGTCTGCGTACCCAGATTTTCCGTATCCAGTTCCATCGTGCCGATCTAGGAGGCCTAGAGCCTAGAGACCTGGGAGGAGGAGGATGAAGAGGAGGGGAGGATGAGGATCAGGAGGAGGAGGACGAGGAGGAGGAGGAGGAGGAGGAGGACGAGGAGGAGGAGGAGGAGGAGGAGGAGGAGGAGGGGGAGGAGGATACGATACGCACACCCTTAACGCCATGTTGTCTGGTAGTCCAGTGAGTACTGTACTCACTCAATGTCAAAATCGCGCAGCAGTGGGCCCTGAGAACATTCAAGACTGACTGGAGGCAT